CTCACCTACTTGCTCCTGTTTCTCTTCCTGCTGCTGGAAAAGCCAGGAGGCCCAGCCCACCCTGCCCTGCCCTGCCCGTTCTCTTCTGCAGGGCGGCAGGAAGGGAGCGAAGGTGCCCCTGCCTTGGTGCAGCCCCCTACAGCCTCTCCCCCTTGGTGTGGGGCAGTTACTGGGAGCCAGTTCCAGCACAGTTTGCTCATGGGCAGCTGCAGCAAGGCCGTGGGCAGCGCCGGGTGTGGAGCTGGGGGGAACACAGAGCACCCTCGAGATGGAGATCCTGCTGCCCCTGGACTGTGGGACCCTGTCCTGGGGGAGAAGAAACCCCTGCCCCCCTTCCCTAGGAGCCATGGCCGCAGCCTCTCCAGCCTGGCTGTGCCTCAGTTTCCCAGGGATGGAGGAGGGAGAGATGCCAGCTGGCATAGGGCGGTGGGGGGGTGTCCTGAAACCACCCCAGGGGGATGTGGCAGCTCTTAAGGTCCCCATCAGATCCCGCTACCTTTAAGGACAACCCACAAGTGTGTCCCCTCCCTTGCTTGAGCCCTGGGCGGCTGCTGCTAGTGAGGACATGAAGCCCTGACAGCTCCCTCCCACCCCCGAGGACCAGAACATAATGCTGTGGGGTCTGCACCACGTGCTGGAAGACCACTCCCATGGGCTGGGGTGCCATGGGGCGGAGCTGGTCCATGGGGCTGAGTGGCAGGGACAGGGAGGTAGAGGACCCCGGTACACCCTCACCTCCAGCATCACCCACCTCTGCTGTCAGTGGGCCCACACTGTCTGGGGGGAACAGGATCCTCTGCCCCCAGGTACAGAGCTGAGCTGGGGCGTCTGGGGTGAGGGAGGGATGGCACAGGGAACTGGGAGCAGAAAATAGTGGGGCAGGAGCTGTCAGGGCCTCAGTTTCTCCACCTTGGGGAATATATCCCACACCAGGATGGGGTTGAGCTCAGGGGCTTTGGTGTGGGAGGACCTTGCTGTGGGGTGCAGGTCCTGTTCTGTGCCGCCCCAGCTCTGCTCCCCACCCCCAGCTTACACCCAGTGCCTGTGGGAGGTGGCCTGGTGGGACTCCATCGTCCAGGCTGAGTATCTGGGACCCTTCTTCTGGCAGCTGAGCCTCACCCTGGGGAAGGAGGAGGGCAAGAACTGGGGGGCTGGGCTGGCTCCGGAGCCCTGGGGCCTCCAGCTGTGCCCCCTCTTACCCCCTTCCCCCTCTGCTTCCCAGTTGTCACCTGCAGCCAGAGCCCCTGGGCACTGAGGGGGACAGCTCAGGGTAAGTCCCAGCGATC